CCCACTTTTTTTTCCAAAGAAAATTGTTTCATGCCTTAGTGTGAAAGCAACTCCTGGCTAACTTCAGCCTGTTTTTTTACCAACACTGCTGCAGGGGCTCTCTGCTTCCAAAAGACCACCCTACGGCTTGCAAGGAACCCAGCAGTCTGCTTACAAAAGCTCAGCCGCTGTATTTGTCATTTTTGAAGCTTACCGTGTTTTCATCCTGTTGTCTCCCTCTGGCTCAATTAACAGCCCATTGCTCTTTCTGGGGTGGCAGAGCCTGAGGTCCTCTTCTCTATACCTCATTATTTTACCCATTTTGAAAGGAGGGCTTTAAAGCTAAATTTTCCATCTTTGTTAGTAGGAAAGGGAGAAAACTCCATAACCTTCAGGGAAGGAAATATACTCTTCCCTGGTTACACCAATATGTGGTTACACCAATATGCCTCCCCCGACACCATTGAAGATCTTAGCCACTCCCTATATTGACTGCATTTGGGACTTCCGATCATTGTGAGTTCATACATCATATTTATTTTTCATTTCAAGCTTTTTGGCTATTTGAACATCATCCTTTCTAGAATTATAGTTCATAGTTTTCAGATTTGTGTTTTTAAAATAAATTACTGTTATATATTGGGTGGGGTACAATACAACGATGACCCAACTAATGATGAGATGAGGTAATTAACGGATCTGTCTGTGATGTTGTTACTAGCATACCCATCTGTATATATTGTCAACTTAACAGGACCTAGAATCACCTAGGAGATAGGCCCCTGGGAGTACCTATGAGGGATTATCTTGTGTCATGAGTTGATGTGGGAAGACCCATCTTCATCCCCTAAGCAGGGAGCCTTGAACTGTGTGAACCGAAGAAACGGAGCTGAGCACTAGCATGCATTCATTGTTCTCTGCTTCTTGATTGTGGGTGCAACTAACTGCTGCTTCAAGAAGCTACTGCTGCCTGATGTTCCCTGCCATGATGAACTGTACCTTGAGCTAAATAAACCCTTTCTGCTTTTAATTTCTTCTGTCAGAGTGTTTTATCACTGCCACTGGGAAAGAAACCAAGACACAATTGCTCCATCCATAGGTCATGTCTTTGTGGAGAGAGAGAGCATCAACAAACGTCTCCCCCAGCTATTTTGGGGTATGTGACCCCCCAGCCAGTTCCAGTCATCCTGCTGTGCATATGCAGGAGCACTCACCCCTCCCTCTGGGTGTCACTTGGTAACTATTCGTTCACAGACCTTTGGTTTATACACCTCTTTCTTCTTTACTTTCAGAATTTTAAAACATACCAGACCCTTGTTGGATGAATTATGATTATCCTTTTAAAATATGCTGTTCTAATTTGCTTTCTGTTGCTGTGATAACTGCCATTACCAGTTTGGTGGAGAAAACAGTTTATTTCCACATACAATGGTGTAGGCAGGACAGGAACTCGGCAGAAACCTGGAGGTAGGTACTAAAGCAATGACCATGAATGGATGCTGCTTACCAGATTGCTCTCCTCAGCTTACTCAGCCTACATTTTTATTCCATCCAGGACCACCTGCCCAAGGGAGGCACCACCACCTTCCTGGGAAGTACTCTCTCACATCAATCAATGAAGAAACTGTCCTGCAGACTTGTCTACAGCCAACCTGATGGAGAAAGTCCCTCAATTACTGTCAGTCTTCCCAAGTGACTATAGCTTGTGCCATGTTGACAGGAACTAACCATCACACCTGCCCTGTGCCTTTCCCCTCTCTTAATAGTATCCCAGATAAATGAAGATCTCATCTTCAGGCTTGCTGGTGAAGAGTGTTTGCTGCTCTTACAGAGCACCCACATTGGGTAGCTCACAGTCACCTGTAACTCCAACTCCAAAAGACGTCCTCTGGCCTCCAAGTGTACCTTTGTACATGTGGTGCACATATGTACACACAAGCATATACACACAACAACAAATAAACAAATCTTCAAAAGATCGTATTTTAATGAAATCCAATGTGGATACTCTTCCTATGGTTGGTGATGTTGTGCAATTTGTGTAGCCTCCTAAAACCAAGACACACGGAGACCATGTTTCCCTGCTTAGCATGTTCTGTACAGGGCTTGTGTTCACATTTGGAGCAGCACTGTCTGATGGAATTTCATGCAAACCAGCTATGTGTGTCTTTAAAATTCCCTGGTAGCCACATTTAAGATAAGTGAAAAGTAACAGTGAAATCACTGTGGTGGTCTCTTTTATTTAGCCATAGATATATACCAGTACCTGAATCATATCAGTGTTTAAAACTTTTTGCCGCTTTATTTTTTTATATTTGCATTTAATTTCTTGTCACCTTAGTCACATAAAAATGCTTAGTAGCTGCTCTGTTTTGTGGCCACCTTAGACAGCACAGGCTTAGAAGCTGACACATGGTGCTTGCTTTGGCAGCACATATTCTGAAATTGGAACAAGAGAGAAAAGATTAGCATGGCCCTTGAATAGGATGACACACAAATTCTTGAAGGTTCCATATTTTTTTCAGTGACAGAGGGGGCCATTATGGGTTTAGGGAGAAGCCTGGTATCAGGGAAACTCCCAGGAATCCACAAGGATGACCCCAGTTAAGATTCCTAGCAATAGTGGGGAGAGTGCAGAGATCCACAGTCAAGCACTGGGCTGATCTCTGGGAGTTCAGCTGAAGAGAGGCAGGAGGGGATATATGTCCAAGGGAGGGTCAAGATCATGCTGGGGAGACTCATAGAGATAGCTGACTGGAGCTCGTGGGAACTCAAGGATTCTAGATCTACAGCTAGGGAGCCTGCATAGGACTGACCTAGGCCCTCTGCATGCGGGTGACAGTTATGTAGCTTGGTCTGTTTGTGGGGCCTCTAGCAGTGGGACCAGGATCTGTCCCTGGTGCTTGAGCTGGCTTTTTGGAACCTATTCCCTATGGTGGGGTACCTCACTCAGCCTTGATGCAGAAGTAGCTTGTTCCTTCCTCAACTTGATGTGCCTTGCTTTGATGTCCCATGGGAGACCCTACCCTTTCTGACGAGTGGATGGTGGGGTAGAAAGGAGGTGGGGGGAGAGAGTGGGAGGAGAGAAAGAAGGGGAAACTGTGGTTGGTTTATAAAATAAATTTAAAATTTTAATTAAAAAGAAAGACGCTGACACATGACTTTGGCTATTGGCTCTGTCCCTTAATAACAATGCATAGCATTACAGAATGTTTTATCCTCAGCTGGATCTGCCCCTAAGAACTAAATATACTACATGCTGAAGGTGTTCCAAGTGCTATATGCTCAGTGCCCGATTTAATCCTTCCCCAACCAGGCAACATAGGCAATATCTCTAGTCCAGTGGTGGTTCCCTCCATATGTTAACCTTGAAGACTACCATGCTCAGTTGCTTGAGTACCTATCTAGTTGTTGTGAAGTTATGCTTTTCATGTATGATTGACATTTCAGTCAGTAGACTTTGAATGAATTATGCTGTCCTCTGAATGAGCAAGCATCGTCTGTTTGGTTGAAGGCCTTAAGAGATGAGACTGAGGTCTTTTCAAAGGAAGACTGCAGCATCAACTTCTGTTGGAATCACCACCCAGTCACCACCCAATCAGCCAGCTATCCTGCAAGGTCTGCATTTCCCAGCCTCACAGTTATATGGGCCAGTGTGCTCTCTCTCTCTCTCTCTCTCTCTCTCTCTACACACACACACACACACACACACACACACACACACACACTTGCTTCTCTCTCTTTGGATATCATTACCCAAAACATCACTCTCTCACCAAAATACCAGCTCACTCTCAGCCCCTCTCTACTGCTTCCTGCCATTTGAAGAACCATTTAACTTCTATTGATCTAGATTTTATCGATGGTAAATTAAGCTAGATCACAGCACCTACCTGCTAGGGGTGTTGGAAGGACTGGCTTACTAATATAAAGCACCTGATGTGTGGTAAGCACTCGGTAAAAGAGGCTGTCCTTTGATGTCTCCCATCTGAAAACACCCAACACAGCTTATAGCCAGGCTACACTGTAGATGTGGAAGAAATAAAGAAAAAGGACCAATTTTAGAAAGGCATATTATACCTATTGATGGTATTTATTACAGCTACATTAAAAAGCAACTTTTGCCATGAACCATGTCAATAAAAATGTAACCTATGCTACCTTGAATTACCTATGCATAGCCACCAACTCAGGCTCCTCCTGCCTCAGCCTTCCCACTGTTGGGAGGGTAGGTGGATGCCACCACATACAGCTCAAAAGAAACTAACCTTTAAGTGAGTACCCCTTGTGTGCCCTGCACTGGAGATGAGCGAGCTCACCAGCTCGTGTTGTCCATACTAAAGTGGGGGTGCTGCCATTTCCAGTTTTCAGAGGAGAAACTGGAATTTCTCACCCACATTGAGTCACAAACTCGCCCACCTTCTAAATGAAAATCCCAGGGAAATAATTCACCCACTCCCTTCTTATCAAACAGCCTGGTTATTTGTTTTCCTGAATAATCCTTTACAAAGCTGCTTGGCAGTGAATTGAAATTAACATCAAGTCCTTGGAGGGAGATTGCTGACTGAACCGTTCCTCCCCCTACCCTTTTGTGTCCGTTGCCGGATGCACACATCTGTAATTCTGCATTGAGACTGTCATAGAATCTTATAATATTTCTTGCCTTGCAATTTTGTGCAGGTAAATCCTAAAGCGGACTTTTAATATATTGTGTATGATTAAAATTGCTCAGAGTCTGTGGGGAGAAAATGAATTGCTAATAGCTAAGAGAACCCTGTGTTCTCTGAAGCTGTTTGTTGTTCGATGAAAACAGACTTCAGATGTCAATACATTTCACTTTGTTTGTTTCCCATTGCCCATTCTGTGTTCAAATTGCTGTAATCCCAAGATTAATTCTAAGGTATTTCTCTGAATTATGTTCATAAATGTCAGGCTTTATAAAAAGATGATTTTTTTGTGTTTTAATATGTATTCCCCCTTCATTCTCCTTTCTTTGATGTCAAGGTTGAATAAAGCCAGTTAAATCTGGCTTTCATTTGTGAGGTTTAATGCAGAAACCATTGTAGGACTCAACTTAAACCTCCTTCTGGTTTTCAGCAATGATCCTGCCCTGTCACGATGAACCAAGCCCTTTAGTTCAAAGATTTTAAACAAATAGGTCTTAAAAAAAAGTTAGAACTCAAAGCTCGGGGACCTGGACAGACGGCTCAGAGGTTAGGAACACTTGCTGCTCTTGCAGAAAAACATGGGTCAATTCTCAGTGCCCATATCAGGCAACTCCCAACCACCTATAACCTCACCTCCTACAAGATCTGATGCCTCTGGCCTCCTGGGCACTGCATTCACATGCTCATTCAAACAATCTTTTAAAAGTTTTAAAAACAAAAATTGGGGGGCTGGAGAGATGGCTCAATGGTTAAGAGCACTGGCTACTCTGGCTGATCTTCCAAAGAACCTGGGTTCAATTCCCAGCACCCACATTGCCGTTCACAACTGTCTGTAACTCTGGTTCCAGGGGATGTGGCATCCTCACACAGACATACATGAAGGCAAAAGCCCAATGTATATTTAAAAAAGAAATCAAAGCTCAGGGTGGATTTGAATGGCAGCTGAGTGTCCCTCTGTTTTCATTTCCTCACTTGTGTGAATCAAGTTCCCGTTGGCTATTGAAGGCAGTGTGACACCCTAGAAGGAACTCTTAGGAGTCCCACAGAACTGTGGTTGCCTTTTGCATAGCCTTCAACTCTAACCAGCATGTCTGCAGGTCAACAAGTCTTCCAGGTACGTCACCATTCCTGTCCTGGCTACATGAGGACCCTGCAAATAGTTTCCAACCTAATTTGTGTTGGAATAACCATGCTTATAACTGGACTGTTAGCAACTATATTTCAGCCGAAGTGTTGTGCAGATAAACATCTGGGAAGCATCCCTCTGTGGTTTCTGTCTCCAGTTCCTGACTCTAAGTTCTTGGCCTGACTTCTTCCAGTGATGGTTTGTGACCTCGAAGTATATGCCAAACAAACCCTTTCTTCACCAAAATTGCTTTTGATCAGAGTGTTCATAGTAACAAAAGGGAACTAAAATACCACTCTCCTTCCTGTATAGATTAATTAAGGCTAATGTGTATGTCAGCCATGGCCTCAAGCACTTGGCAGACCTTTGCTCACACAACCCTGACTCCTGCATGAAGTTAATGCTCTAAGATACCATTTTCAATAGAGAGATAGAAACATGGGTTATTTCACTTGCTCCAGGCCACGAGCTAGAAACTAGCAGAGCTGGACCCTGCCCCTGATCATGATGAGGCTGTGGATCCCAAAGGCTACATCATTTCCTGTAAGGGCCAGCCACTCTGGCTTCCCCACATTGGAATAAAAACCATGTCCTTTCCTGGTTTGCTAACCCTCCTATCTGGTACTATACGCATCTGTTTCCCTTCCATGCTCAGTTCAACTGAAGCTCCTTCAGGGACTTGGCCTGACCTTAGCTGGCTTTTTTTTTTCCTTACCCAGCTTTCTAGGGCATATTCCAAGGCTATTCCAGGGAGGACAGATGTCTGTGAATCAGTAAGAAGGAGAAAGGTTAACATGGGTCTCTGTCCCATCCATGTCAGATAGGGATGTGAAGCCAGACTCCTCATCTGGACCTTGTCCTATATGCGAGAGGACAGCAGACAAGTGGCCTGTGTGATTCAAGCCTGAGACACATGCTGTGTGAAGTTACTCTGTCCTTGTAAGGGGAACAGTCCAACATTTTCCCTCTGTGGGATGAAGGGTTCCTGGACTCTCCAGGTCATGTGTATATACAAGAAGACTTGTGGCTGATGACTGCTTGTCTCTCTCACACACTTGCCAGGGTTCATATAAATCCTGGGAGCTTCAGTACTAGTGGCTCATCATCTAACATGGGTCCGATATCAGAAGTATCTGCCAGCAGCTTTCCCTCATGTATGGAAGGCACAACCATCCTAGCCATTGCCTTTGGGCATGGCCTCACGGCCTGCTTCAGCCAAAGGATGCAACAGGAAGCGAGTCCTGAGTTGCTCCTGCATATGGCCTTGTCCTCCTCTATCCCAGTGACCACTACCTTGCTGACCTCATCAATACTACCCCACCCAAATGTCCTACTTTAAATGCCAGGCAGACTGAGTGTCGGACTTAGTGAGGGAAGGGAAGGATGGACGATTAAGAACACAAATGAAGGGAAAGAAACCCTCCAACTGGGGTCTAGGTTGTGCTTCCCAATGGCTAAAAGTCAAGAAACTTCAACACAAGATTGCCTGCAGAAACACCTCGTGTTTTCCTAAACACATCTCAAACAAAACTGTTAAAAACAAACAGACTGTGCTTACATGGGCCACAGTGTTTGCAACCTTGAGTGCCACCTCTCCTAAAGCCACGCAATTGAAGGCAGCTTGTTCTTTTGGGTCGGAGATTCCCCTGTACAGTTGCCAGTACTATAGAAAGTGAGCATGGCAGCAGGTTCTGAGGAGGTTAACTAAGCAGGGACCCTCTCTTAAAG